TCAATTAGATAAAACAATAGAGACAATCACGTGGTTGTTCTAACGTTGCCGCAACAACCCCTAATTCCGAGACAAATCTTACAACATCGACCCCCTTGTCGATGTACTAACCATACTCCTGGCAAACTAATTTGTACCTATCTTGTGGCTCAAAAAAATCGGGGACACCTGCAACACCTCATTTTCTTTTGCTCTTGTCGCAAAGACTTGAAAAAACATCTAATTCGTTGTATTTTCGCGATACAACATACACATAAAGAAAAGTTAAAACGTGTACCCATCATCAAGTGTTATATACATGTATGTAGCGAGCTCGAGGTATTCAGATGTCGTAACAATGGCTCATTCAACGACAATGAGGCTCGTTGCCCTGGGTCGCCCCAAAAAAGGGGGGTACGAGCGATTTTTTTAAATGAGCCTCGTCGTCGTAGAAAGAGAGCTGCGATGGGGGGCGGGAAACGCGGAAGGGACGATTCGAGGCGAAGAGGCAGAGAAAAATCGAAGCAACGAGGGTGCATAGGATGGGGAGGGACGGTCAAGTGCCTCGCGCAGGGAGGGGTCCTTTCGCGAAAATCGGGAAGCTTGGCGATCGAGGAGCAAATCGAGCCGAAAACTCCGAGCTGCAGTGCACGTGTGTACGAGTGCCGTGACCAACCGACACCACAAACAAGCCGAGGGCGTTGAGAGAGAGAGAGAGAGAGAGAGAGACGTGCACCAATCACGGAACTCTGCAGAGTTGCGTGCCGGCACGTCGCGGTCGCCGGTGCATGGCTGCCTCGAAGGGGACGACGACGGGGGTCTGCGAGTGCCCGAAACCGGCAGCCCGTTTCGGAGGCGGGGAAGGGGGAGCCGCAGGAGAGACGCGGAGGAGCGTCTATGGGGAGAGCAAAAATGCGAGCGCGCATCCATGTATACATATACCCACGAGGGGTGGAGGAGGAACGAAATGAAGGGGGGAAAAAAAAAATCAGAGTCGGGCGTTTTTGTTTTTGCTCTGTTTTTCGCGCGCGCAGGGGGAGCTCTTGGTTTACTTTTTTTACCAGGGGGGAGATGGGCTTTTTCGACGGGATACCGGCTTCGGGGGCCCTTTTTGGACGGAGGTACTCCTCCTCTACGATGATGCGTGTGTGTGTTTGATTTTACGACGCTGGTCTGAATCGTTCGAAGGTGTATTTTGTTTTTTTTTACACATCCACAGAAAAAAAAAAAAAATTGAAATTGACTTAAACCCGATGTACGTATATATACATGTATTTATGGGAGAGTGGAGGCAAAATTGTGATGTACAGTTGCGCAAGTTGGTGGAAGAACGAGGAGTCCAAGTGCCGGTGCTATACACACAGTCCGGACACATACGCGGCGCCGATATCTTGACGGTGGTAATTATGCATACGCGCGAAAGTAGGGCCGCGAATATTGAATCGGTGCCTCACGCCCCTCCGTAAAACTCACGTTCCTCACTATCGCGACTCGTCTCCCTCTCTCAGAGCGAATCTACTCTGCGAGAAAAATCCTACAGCCTTGACTGGAAATAACCGTTTTTTTTTTTTTTTTTTTTAGTTTAACCAAGAGATCGCCGAGCTCCCTCTCCTTCTCTACCGATCATCAACTCCGTCCTCTGCAAAAAAAAAGAAAAAAAAAAAAGGAAGGGAAATAAACCACCCTCGGGGTCTTAAGAGATCAATCTGGAAAAATTGCCAGGGCTTAGGCGCCCGGCCACCGGTTCTACAGACGCTCCCGCATTATTTTAAATAAACTCCCAGCCGCTCGACAGAATGCCAAGATCGGCGATTGTCGTTTATTGGATTACAGTGGGGAAAAAAAATTGTTTCGCCTTTTTAAAAATTAACGCAGGTAGAAAGCATTTTACTTGCAAAACGAAGCGGGAGCGTGGAGTGTAAAATAACTTTTCCCTGGCGTTCGTATACCAAGAGCCGACGTGGGGATAAAAATAATATCAAAGAAGACGACGCTTACAAGAAGTATGTATAATTATACTACACGCGCGGCTATACTTTACATCTGTGTGTACGTATTTATATTAGTACGCGACGAAGCAGCGTTTAATTTTGCTACACCCCCCCCCCAACCCAATGCCCGAGAGATTTAATTTCAAAGCGATTATTAAAGCAAAACAGCTGTTTGACGCTTCTCTGCTAATATAAGTAAGGCAATTTAACGAAGATTTCACGTTCAATTTTCAGAGTTTTGGTTTACGTAATTTATTATTTGGCGCGACGACTAAATAGGTGACGCTTTCAAAATTAATACCAGTGCAGGTGTTGAACACCAATGGAAAAACAATGACGCATGACGTAGTCATCACAAATAGATTAGGCCTAACTTTTTGTAATTACAAGTAAAGGTGCTTTTTAAAAATATAAAAGAATAAACAAAATAGAGCAGATTGATCACGATTGTTATCTTTTTGACGCATACATTGCGATTCGTTGACTGTAAATTGATTCGCGGTTTCATTGAAATTTGACTCGTCAGGCTTTCCAATCCACATGACGAATAAAATATATTTTTATTTATAAAGTAAAACAAAAAAAAGTTGAGTCAGAAATACAAGAAAAGAAAAAAAACAAAAAAAAAAAAACCAGCAGAGCCTATACGGTAGTGGGGGCGTAAGTAATCACGCTTCTGCCTCAACCACCCAACCCATCACAGCCACGAGCATTAACCTACACTCTTGTCTATACACGAAAAACCAAAATACCCGTAAACGTATAATACATACGCAACATTATAAACATATACAGAAGGCGATTTCTCGTTTTACGTAACGTACTTTGAACTCATTATATACATTTTATCTGTGGTATGCGTTGTAAATATATATTTATATACATGCGGAACATACCTAGCCCAACCGGAGCCGGCTCTTCCTCTTCTTCTCCTCTATATTTCTTTGTTGTAATTTTCCGATTTAACCGCACGCAGGACGATGTAGATACTAAGTATTTTCGGCGGCAACAATTCGTTCAAAGATTATACTAATATATTACAGTTCACACGCACTAAAACTGCCTTGTTTTCTGTTCCTCTCCTTTTCAGTCCACATCCATATCTTCCAAGACTCCAGCCTATACATACGTGCCACCGTTATACATTCAAACACACGTGTCGTATGTGTACGTGGGTGTAAGATACGATATGAAAAAGTACACGACGATTGTTCGTGCGAAATGTTCCTTCTCGCGCGAGCAGCGGCACACGAGAAAAATATAGGTGCGCGTCCGAGTTCGATGCCCGTTGGAAAAGCAACTAGCAGACGTCTCCGTCTCGCTCTTTCGCGCACGCCTCCGGTAGTCCGGTGTGGTGTGTGTGTGTGTGTGTACACGCGCGCGCGAGTGTGCGAATTTCGAGCTGCTCTCTCTGCGCGTGCGAAACTGCGAATAAGTAAGAGTAAGAGAGAAAGAGAAGACAACCCAGCGCTCACACACGTACATGCATATTGTTGTGTATTCGTGCTTGATATTGTACGCACACGCGCTCGTCCAATGGGGGAAGAGATTACACGAAAAGCATGCAGAAGAGAGAGAAAGAAAACAACGTGCGCACGCGAGTTTCCTTTCGATGAGTATTTAATTAATTGTACATATATGCGGGCTCCGTTCACGAAATTCGTTAAAGATTTTTCATCCCATTCTGAAACGGAGCGAGTATGGAACAAGAATTAAAATGGCTCGTTGCTTGTGCCTTGCTGTAACGAGTAGCGGCGCGCACACGGCTCTCTTATTGTTGTCACGGGCAGCTTCGATCTGGTTGTATTTCTTTTTTTTTTTTTTTCAATACTCGTTGGACGAAAACTCGTTTTGGCACACTAGAAAGTCTTTTTTCTGTTTGTATTTTATATACTTTACGTTACTGCAGACGCAGCAAGTACAGGTAACATTTTTACCATAAAACTCACTCTTGATATTTGTGTACGAACGAAAAAGTGAGAACTCGCTTCGAGCCGCACTTTTGTTGTTAATCGAGTACTGGTGCACCAGCAGACAAGATTGCACGGTACAACAGTAAAAAAAAAAAAAAAAAAGAAATTCTCACATCTCTTATCGATCGAAGTCAAAAACCAAAAATGTTGCGAGTACTTTTAAATTACAAAAAAAAAATAAATAAATAAATAAGTTGGCGAGAAAGCCGCACGGCGGAGCGATCGCACTGAACCAAGATGCTCGTACACCGTACACACGTTAGGTACGGTAGGGTATATACCTCAGCTACACCACAATGACGAACGAACGGACGTCGAGGAGACGAGTATGACGACGACGACGACGACGACGGGAGTAGTCATGGGCGCATAGGCACAGATATACCTAACGTATATTATATATAAAAGCAAAGGAGCAGAGACGACGATGGCGAACCAGTAGAGATATATTATATCACAGACGGCGGCTACCACCACCACCATGCACCGGCAGCGGCACTATAGCTTTCTCTCTTTTTGGAGGCGCGCCGCTGGCTGAGCCCCTTCCTCGCTCCAAATAATATATATATATATACATACGTACACCCACACACTGATAATAGAGAGAGACCGGAGACCAGAGAGTATTTTTTAATAAGTATGTTTATACGTGTCCACCGGACAAGTCGATATTACTTGTACGGACGCGATTGGTCATATCCACCCTGCAGGGGAAATGTAGCTCCATCAGCAGCTGATGGTGAAAAGGAAACACGGCGAGTCTCAAAAAAGGGGGGTTGGAACGATGGTCGACGGTAGGAAAGTGGTTGTCCTACCGATCGGTGGTCATTTACCTACGGGCGATCTTGGCAAAACGAGTAAAATCGGGGGATGTTGCGGTAGGTAAAACTGCTAGTACCTGCGGTCGGTAACGCAGACACTTGTCTCGTCATCCTAAAGATAAAACGCGAAAGTTCTCTGAACCGTTGCACGATAAAAGACCGCTTATCGAGGCCGCAATGTTTACTTGTATGTAATTGTATACAAAACGAGAATGTATATATAGATCGGCGCTCACCTGAAGTTCTGCCTGCGAGACGTCGATCTCGCCCCTGTAGACGAACTCGATGATGAACTTGAGGTCGTTGAAGCAGACGTCCTGCGGCATGATGATGGTCGGGTGCTTGCAGGGGTTGGACAGCAGCAGCTTCTGAAAGTACGAGCTGCATGCCGAGAGCACCACCTGCAAGTTGTTGGGTTGGGAAACAAAAAACAAATAAATAAATAAATAAATTATGTTGCTTAATTTAGGGGATCTATAGGGGGAGTCGTAAAAGTATACATAAGCGCATCGAGCTTTGCTTCCACTATCGTGCCGTTGGACAAGCTTGGGTGTAGTTGGAGCTACAAAAGGAAATAATAACGCGAGGGAAAATTAAGTTTGACAGGGACAAAGTGCTCTTTACCGTCATCATCGTCATTTTTTCCATGGGCAAAATATTTACGTATCAACATTACACGTTACTCGCACTTTTCGCAGCACGAGTCGCATGTATACCAAACGAGCTTTCGCTATCCAAGGATCGTGTAAAGTTGGTTACGACACTCTCGTTTTATCCTTCGATTATCTCGAGTATACACTTTCGCTCAGGGACACTACACTATTTTGCGGAGGGATGGAAACCCCCTCGGTTTGACACCCCCGATGGGAATGGAATTAATTTAAGGAGCTTGGACGTATGAACGGGTCATTTTCGAAGGTATACGCGCAGTTTGTTTGGCAGGAAAGGAAACACCGTTCAACACAACGGAAAATACTTGCACGAAAAAAAAAAAAAAAAAAAAAGTATAGTTGATTTTGATCAAATACCCGCGCCAATCACTTCCCCAACATCTGTACTACCTCTGTGACACCCCGTAAAAGCTCTCCCCCGCATTAATCGGAATTTCCGAAAAAAAAAAAAAAAAAAAAAAAAACCTGCAGGCAGACTCGAATGGCGGATCGATGCTGTTTCTCATCGTATGATAAAAATAAAAACCCCTTCGGTACGGAGAAAAACGCGGTCCACGTGTATATATGTATATATACGTGAGAGACGAAGAACCGACAGAGAAAGAGAGAAAGAAAAGAGGGCCGGAGAAAGGATAAAAACTGCCGGGGGAAAGAAAGAGATGCCAAAGCACCCTTCTTCTTTTCCGGAGCTCGGAAGGGAGGGAGGCGCAGACTAGCGCTGTACGATTCGCCGGGAAGGAGGCGAGCTTACAAAAAGCCAGGGAGATGGAGATGGATGAAAAAGCCCGACGGAGGAGGAGTAGAGAGAGAGACAAAGGGGGGAGGGTGGAAGCGAGAACCCAGGAAATGAAATAAAAAGACCGAGGGGGATGCTCTCCCTCTCTCTCCCTCTGTAAAAAAGGAGATATGCAGAGAGATGGATCCTTCGCCTTTTCTGCGCAGCGGCAGAAGGGAAGAAGAAGAAGAAGAAGAAGAAGAAGAAGAGGAGGATAGATCGATAGGGCGAATGAAGCGGGAAAATTTCGGGCGGGTGAACAGGAGAGGGGGTCCAACTTTTCTTCTGTGTCTTATCTGCCCCTTCCCGTTAGTCAGAACTACATTTACATGGACGAGTTTTTCCCCTATACAGACAAATAAATTTTCGACTCGAAAACGTTAGATTGACGTGATTAATAATGGGAAAAGTCGCTTCAGTGGAGGCCCCTCGTGCCATGAATGATGAGATACGCTTCGGTATGGGTCATTATATTTATAATATGTACTCGCAGAGTCGATTGGCGATACGCGACAACGGAGGATGACGAAAAAGCAAATGTCACCGGTGTAATGTATATGGTGTTACCTATTTTTTTGTTTCCCCCCCCCCCCTATGCTAATTTAGACACTGGCTTACCTTGTGAGCCTTGAGGGAGGCCTCGTTGCAGGCGAGGGTCACGTCGACAAAGGCTTCGGTCTGGAGGAGCTGGTGGAACACGGACGTCATGTTGGACTGGTAGTTGTTCCAGCGCAGGCAGTAGTGCTGCCCGGCCATCCCTCCGCTGGAACAAGAAAAACACGAGGAGTTAGAGAGAGAGAGATTTTTTTGGAAAAGTTTTTTTTTTTCTTAATGGTACTCGACGCACGCTGCGGGATGGAAAACGAATAGTCAAGGGGAAGGGAAGTTTTTTTTTTTGTTTAAGTAGTTTTTTATACTTAGGCGATGTGCCTATCGTCTTTCAGGTGAGTGTACGTAGGTTTGGTTATTTTTCTTCGTGAAATATCGACCTTTTTCTCAATTGGCGTCCGAACGGATGGTCAAGTTTGTATACACTGTACGTTTAATGTATAAATTGTTTATTCACAATACAACAATGATAATGTTTTTTGTTTTGTTTTTTTTTTTCACGCATTTTCGGATATTAAAACTCATTATTATATAATACGACACGTAACATATTTAAGGACTTTTTCAATTGTTGGGACTCTATTATTTCCCATATTTTTATAAACATTGTTATTTTTAATCTGTAATTCAATTGAAAAAAAAAAGAAAAAAATCGTTCAACACTTTTTTATTAGTAGTGAAAAAATAAAAGTTTCAACAAAAAATAATTGTTGAAAAAAATGGAAAAAGTATCCTTGCCCCTGCACGTGTGAACACGCGTACATAAAACATACAAATTCCTTTTATTAGAAGCAAAATCTTTGTTTTCCATTTAAACAGGGCCCGAGGCTTCATGTATACACGACGCGAATTCCATCCTTTTAATCTGATACGCCTCGCAAGTTTTATTATACACACCTACACACACACGCCTGCATCTACCTCTTATCATCTATTCATTAGTCCCTGATGCACAGTTTACATTCTTCGTGCACATCTAAATGCACTGCAAATCCAAAATGTTTCAACCCGCTTGATGTGCACACGAAGCAGCTCCGTAACAGTGCATGCGTAACAATAAATATGACTCGGTCTTTGAACGTGCAAAATTATGCAGACACGAGCGACGAAAAAGGAAAATTGTTATACTCTCCGATGAACCAACACGAATATTCGGATGCGACTCTAAAGTTTCTTGAAAAAGTATCCACCAACAACTCTCCCTCCAACGACTGGGCCTATACATCTCTCTCCGTCTACATTGTAAGTACATCGACTCTTCGCGCGCTTACATACATGTACATAATATATATACAACGCACGAAGCGCGCGTTTTTCGCGTTATCTTATAACCACCGACTTTGCACGCACACGCTCACCCATGCGGGTTTTATCAGGTGCTCAGAGAGCCGTCTCTCCGATAACAGGAAAACGCTCGCTTTGGCTCTCCTCCGCGCTTCCTTAAGCTTCGTCTCATTCTTCTCTCTTCTTCCCTTTATTCCCCCCCCCCCTCTAAGGTAAAGTAGCCTATTATGGCACATTTTACAAAATTGATCCTATTGTGAAACAGCAGTCTTAGTTTTTCATTGTTTAAGTCTAAACAGGAAATTAAATTAGTTCAACATCCTTACAGAGTTATATTTCTAAACTAGTAAAAATCGCAGGTGATATTGAACATTGTTATTATTAAAAAAAACAAAAAAACATAACAAAGCCCAGTGACATGATAGGGGAAGCGAATAACATAACCCCTAAAACGCAAGGTTCCTATGATGAAGCGTACAAGATGCACACATATGTGTGTGCTATTTTAGGAACCTTTTGTTTCATGAATAGGAGCCCGATTCATTGCGTCAATGTAATATGTTTATAAAATAATTATTTAACACCTAAAATTATTATAAAAATTATAACATTGCTCGGAAACATTGAGCACTTTCATTGATACCTAAATTTTAGATATTTAGGCTACTTACGATTTTATAATGATTTTTCGTTAAAATTGTGCCATAATAGACCACTTTACCTTATCCAATCAAACGATTTCTCATCTTCTTGCACACAATTACAGTGTCGTGCGATCCCACATATTCATTTTCCCTCCCTTTCACACTTAATCGCTCCCCCGTTTTATTTTGTACTTCATCTCTGCCAAGAATAACTAAGCTCGCACGAATAACGCTAGTTGCGTATTTAAAAAAAAAAAAATCACGTCAAACTCACCTGTAACCATCGCGCATCCTTACTTCTGTTTTTCTTAACCCGCAACTTTGACAACTTTATATGGGTATCTCGAACTTTTCAAGTAATTGTATCATCACTGTGCCCTCTTTTTTTCGCGTGTTGCTATATACAGTATTAATTACACCGAGTCACTTTCTTACGGCTCGATCCGCGACAGGTTGCACATACCACTGCAGCGCGTCCAAAGTCCCTCGTCACGCTCTCGTTGATGATTGTCAGTTTCGAGTGTTTTTTCTTTTTTTCTTTTTTTTTATCTCGCGCGCATTGACATTTATCGAGTTCTCCTTTTTATGCTCGAGCTTCACTCACTCGGTGTCCCCTTCTGAACCAAGTGTCTTTCGTTATCTCTCGCGCGCGCTCGTCGTGTCTCGTGTCTCTCCTTATCGGTGCTCTTTCCTTCGTTTCTACGTCGTTCGTCGTATCTTTTCACTCTTTTCTTCTTTTTTTTTTTTTTCCTTTAATGAATTTTTATCGACGCTGATCGCTATCTGCTGCGCATAATTTCTTCTCTCTGTGCTTTGTTTGTTAATTTTTTTTTTTTTTTTTTTTTTTTCTTTGGGGTGGGGCTCAATCCTGGGGGTTTCATAAAATTACTTTTTTTTGAACTTTTGCGACATTGATCGTTCGCGTCTTCGGTGGCAAAAGAAAACGGTAAACAAACACGATGGCAATGAATATCATTTTTTTAACACGCGACGTTCCAACTCCCTGTCTGTATCTTTTACTCGAGATTTATTTCGTTCCCACGCGCGCACACACGTTCGCATTACTTCGCGTGCGGTGGTGCCTTTCTCCGGCGCTTCTTCATCGATCGACCCTTTTTCTCGGTCTCGAAAATCGCCTGCCTTTCCTTTTTCATGAACGAGTCCATCTCGAATGACGTCAGGTTTAAAAACTATGTTGTTTGCAAAAAAAACAAATCATGAAAACCAGCGAAGCTCTACGGGATAAAAAAAGTCATTGTTTCGATCAAATCCTGTATACTGTGGATTGATATAACAACATTTCATATCTAGGCTCTTTTTTTCTTTCATTTCGCGAAGGCGGCAAATGTAGCCCAGCTCGAAGAGTCGGTTAATGTAGGGCACGTAAAGTTTTTTTTTTTTTCGTACGAAACTCCAGTTGGGGAAAAGAAGAGGAGGAGGAGAAGAAAGAGGCCATTTCAATTCTTTTATCGCGAATGCATGCTCGACTCGGGTCTCGTTTAACGAGTTGGATGCGCTTCTCATTGTACGTGTCTCTCCGTTTGACAAGGATATAGGATGTTTCAAAAACGCATGAAACGAGACGTCACGAGCTTTTTTCATTTTGGACTAGCAGCACGGATTCAGGGGTGCTTTTGGATATACGGTAACGAGGATGCATTTAACGTGATTCATTATGCCAGTAACGGAACTTATTGGCAACGCGAGCGTTAATTAGCGCATCCCCCATTTAATGATTAAACTCAACACTCGTCTCATTTATGCCAATTAGTGCGTATTATACCAGTAGTGACGTAGAGATGTAATATATTATGTATGTATATCGCATGATTTCACTATTAAATCAAACGTGTCTTCACTTTTTTCCCTCTTCATCCAACCCACAAAACTACCCGGTATCTCTCTCTCTCGAGCTGAGCTCGCCCGACCTTTCCACCCCCGACGTAGATCCATCCATCCATCCGTTCGTTATATTTCTCTTCGTCTCCCTTCCCGGGGAAAAAAAGGGGACGGATGAAAAAGTAAAAATGCTCTCGCTCATCTCCCCGTGTATGTACATATATACATAACTACAGTCTCCGAGAAAAGGAGAAGAAGAAAGATCTCGATTTTTCTCTCCGGGTACTTTTTTTTCTCTCTCTTTTCCTCTTCTTCTCTTTCAATCCTCCCCAGCAGCCCCAAGCCCCCGCTCCTTTTGAACTCTCTCTCTCTCGGCGCTTCCTCCTCCTCCTCGCTTTCGTCGCTCTCCCCTATACAACACACGTATGTATATACCTATACATATTCTCAGCTCCTCCGCGCCACCTTTTCTTTCGCCCCCCGTGCGCGAGCATCCCTTCTCGCGGCCCTTTACGTGTATATACCTTCCTCCTTACCCTTCCCGGCGCCGACTCTCCTCCCTCTCGCCGGGGGGGGGATGGCTCCTTACATCTCCCTCTTTGCCCGCCCGCATCCTTCCTTCCTTCCTTCCACTCCGGGCTTCTCCGTTTTTCCCCGGCGCTCTATCGACCTCTGCCCACACGCTCTTCTTCTCCTCCTTTCGGCTCCTCTCTCTTCCGAGAGCCCCAGGGCTCCCACCTTCCCCCCTCTCCTCTTTGCAAGCGCCTTCCTGCGCTTTTCTTCCACTCCCCTCTCCAGGGATGAGGAAAGTTTCAGCTCTCCCGGCTCGCTCTTCTTTTTCTTCGTATACGTACACATTCGTGTCGTCGCAGGGGGATGAAGCTTTTCCATTTCCTTCTCCCTTTTTTTTTTTTTTTTTTGGGGGGGGGTGGGGGGCTTTCTTTTTCGACCCTTTCTCCGGCCTCGTGGTTACGAAACAACATGTCATATACTCATTTCACGTGTCGAGGGACCAAATTAACGCGATGTAGTAAAAGCGCAAAAAAATCTGTATACGTGGATTTATGGTTGTTCACGCGGTGCGCGGAATCACTCGTTTGCGCGTACATGGGGAGTTTCGTTGAACTGCATGTATAGAAATGGAGGGCGGAGGGGTAAAGGAAAAAAACAATGTGTAATTATTTATTTTCCAATACCAACAAACGTGCGAGCTTATATTATATGCGTGACCTACAGCAGGTTGAGACGAGGAACACAATGGAAAAATGATTTTCTCTCCGTCTCCAGGCTCCCTGGTATACACATTACACGTATATGTATATGTAGTCTTCCGACGCGCTTTCTTATCTCCGCGCAACGGAGCGAGGAACAAGAACATATTGCACCC